TCCCCTCTCCGTCCCCATTCCTGTCCCCGACCCCGTCCCTGACTCCGACCCCGTTCCTGTCCCCGACCCTGTCTTCGTGTCCGTCCCAGACCTAGCCCCCGTCCCCGACCCTGTCCCCGTGTCCATTCCTGTGCCCGTGTCCGTCCTCGCCCCGTCCCCATCCCCATCCCGGCGGGAGGTCGCGGCCGGCGGGGACCCCAGTCCGCCCTCCGCGGGCCGTGCTGCCGGCGATGCGGCGACCTCCCGTGGGGACTGGGATCGCAGGTGCCCGGGCACCGAGACGGGCCTTACTTCCCAGTTCGCCCCGCAGTCGGCAACTTCGGGGACACCACGGTGGCTCGCCGTGTGGCAGAACTGTTCACATTTCTCGGTGCAGGTCCTGGCGCAAAACTTGGAGTGTGTGCAGCGATCCGGGGTGCCTACTTCACGTTCGGGCGGAATGTGGAATTTGGGGTTCCCGTCCGCACTTTTTGGAATGGAGGGCCAGGTGGGACCTTGCGGTGCGACTGAGGCTTCCGGGAGCGAAGTCCGTGAGGTCGAGTTCAGAGCAGCAAGTGCTTCCTGAACGTCTGCCCCGCAGCGGCCGCAGGCGGCGCGGTGTCAGGTCGCAGGTCGCAGGAATCCCGGTCGCGGTGGGAACGAGACGCGCGCGCGACGCGTCCCCAGTGCGTTTCCAATCGAACGTGTTCCTTGGAATAAAAATGCGTCTATAATCAAACAAAAGCCAACCACAGGAAGCATACACTTATCTTGACTTTTTTAACCCAGCAAATACCACAACATGAAATGAATGAATGAATTTTAAATGGAATAGTTAGCGTGATGGAGAGTCAGCGTTGTTTAAAAACATGAATGGCATTGTTGATCAAGCTTCACCCAGGAAACCCTCAGACTGGCCCGTGATACACACTTTCCCTGTGCTTCCTAGTTTCTCCCGGCTGCTGCATCACCTGGCTTGGATTCCGTGAGGCTCAGAATCCCTCGGGCTCTAAAGTATGAGGCATCACCCCTTTGGTTCCAGCACTGTTCCTAATGCAGAAGCTGGCTCACTGCTGGGGACTGGATAAGGATTCTTAGAAGAACTTACTGTCCCAGGTTTGGCAAGTGCTTTCCACCGTTCGGTCTGGGGAAGGATCAGCCAGGTTGTTCACCTGAGCCTTTGCAGTTTCTAGGACTCCCTTCAGCATCCCTTCAGCATCTCTTCAGCATCTCTTT